CTGGCAGATGATGAAAATGAGCATTCATCAAGAGGGTCACATCTAATTTTGTGTAGACTTCTACTGCAGCCATGGTGCCATACCACAGAGGCTGGACAGCTGCTGCATTCTGGGACAGCCAAGGGAACCCTACCTTGCACCAGGACACAGCAGCAACTTGAGACTTCAGTCTGAAATGAGCTGGAAAAAGCAAAAATCCCCCGATCCTCCCATTTCACAGCCCTTTGCAAGTGCAGAATATGGTGAAATAGATATGATAAAGATTTTGCTTTATTTTTTGTGGCTTGCAGTCTGAAAAACATGGATTGGGAGCTAATGAACAAGCACAGATAGACCAGCTCCCCCATACCCAGCCTGTTTCCTCTTTTCTTGTTGGGTAAAAAACTGGTTGGGTGGCTGAGCCCAGGGAGTGATGGTGAACGGAGTTACATCCAGCTGGCAGCTGGTCACCCGTGGTGTTCCCTAAGGCTCATCTTTGGGGTTGGTCCTGTTTAACATCTTCCCTAAGGCTCATCTTTGGGATTGGTCCTGTTTAACATCTTTACTGATGGATTTGGGGACCAAGTGCATCCTCAGTAAATTTGCACACAACACTAAGTTGGCTGATGTGTTGCTCTGCTCAAGGATAGAAAGGCACTACAGAGAGACCTGGACAGACTTGGTCAATGGACTGAGGACAACTGCAGGAGGTTCAACAAGGCAAAGTGTCGGGTCCTGCTCTTGGGACACACAACCCCATGCAATGACACAGGCTGTGGGATGAGTGGCTCAAGACCTGTTCAGCAGAAAGAGACCTGGGGGTGCTGGTTGAGAGCTGGCTTAATATGATCCAGCATGTATCCAGGTGGCAGAGAAGGACAATGCCATCCTGGTTTGTATCAGGAATAGTGTGTCCAGCAGGACCAGAGCTGGTGATCATCCCCCTGTACTTGGCACTGATGAGACAACACATTGAACACTGTTTCAGTTCTGGACCCCTCACTTTAAACAGAATGTTGAGGTGCTGGAGTGAGTCCAGAGAAGGGCAACAAGGTTTGTGAAAAGACTGGAGAACATGTCTTATGAGGAATGGCTAAAGAGCTGGCTTTGTTTAGCCTGGAGAAAAGGAGGCTGAGGGGAACTCATTGCAAATTAGAACCACCTGAAAGGAGATTGTAATGAGGTGAGGCCCAGTCCATCCACTGTTCCTGCAGTGAGAGGACCAAGGGAAACGGCCTTAAACTGAGATGGGGAAGATTCAGATTAGATATTTAAAAAACCAAAAATTACTGTTAGGATGCATAACATATATTGGAATATGTTGCCCAGGGGGGCGATGGAGTCACCATCCCTGGAGGTGTTTAAGAGGCATCTGGATGTGGCACTGGGTGATGGTTTAGTGGTTTAGGGGTGAGAGTAGCAGTGGACAGTTGGACTGCATCATCTTAAAAGTCTCTTCCAACCTTGATGATCCTATGATCCTATGATTCATTCTCTGCCATCTGGGTCCAGCTCTGTAGGAACATTTAATTTCACATCCATTATAGATTTCATCAGGAATTAGGCATTGTGTAGCTGTACCTTACCATACATTTGTCTGCTACAGAGTTCTTTCATAACACTGAGACTGCTTTGGGAATATGGAGTTCCATGAGACCCTGCAAGCTGTCAGAACTAGTCCTTCAAAATGCAGATCACAGACATTCAAGAAATTACAGGGCAGGATTAGGTGCCATAGCTCTGTGCCTTCCATAAAAACGATGTATGACTGAAAGAGAGCAAGCCCTGCCTGATACAATGCTTGTTTTCAGTCACTGCTGTCAGTATCTCACTTCCAGGGGAAATAAATTCAAATATTAATTAGCTTCCCTGGAAAAGAGTTTGCCATTAGAAAGGTTTCTAATGCAGTTGTAACAGACCACAATGGATAGCAGAATTATTCCATTGCAGGTGTAGCATCGTTTCAGAGAAAACAAGAGTTCTTAAACCATATAGCTTTTGACAGCCCCACTTAGAAAAGAAAATATCACAATTCAACCCAACAACAGCTCAGTAAAAGTTCCCCTTTTTAATGGCAGCTAGTGAAGTCCGGGGCAAAATTACAAAGTAGCTTGTTAGCAGCTCAAGTATAGTCTAGTCACTTTTTTCTATCTCTCTCTCTCACAACAGGAGGCAATTTTAGACTGCAGAGCACAGATGTGTCTAGCAGACACATCCTTCTTCCTGCATCTTAAATAAGTGTCTCACAGACTGTGAGCCATTAATCTCATAAAAACCAGGTACTCAAATAGGATTAGAAAAAATATAACAACAAAAATCACCGAAGAATTGTCAGTAGCTGTAAGAACCAAATGGATACCTCCTGCTGTGAAGAAAACCCACTGTCAGCTATTGCTGTTATTACTCTGAATCCTAGAACAAAGGCTGGAGGAATCCATTTATCTGTGCATTTCCAACTTTCCTATCCTTGTGGGACCAAATGCCACTGCCAGGTATATTCCCTTAAATATTTTATTTAACTACCTTAGAATGCATGTTTGTTATGCTGTCATGGCACTGACTAATGTAGTAATTTTGAACTTCTGTGATTATTCTTGATTAGTGAGTGAAATGGACACAGCTTCTTCTCCCTTAGCTCCCCATGCTCAGTCTGGGGACTCATTCCATAGGCTGGTCCTTCCCATCTGCCAAGGCATAAGCAGGGGAATATTTCACCCAGGAGTGAGTGAACTGAACCTCACTGTTCCACATGCAGGGATTATCATCCATCTCTCCAGGTCACTTGAAAGAAGTGTCAAGAAGAAACAATATGAAAAAGTTACATACTACAGACTACATAAATACTTAAGTATTCCAGTAAGATTTTAGTGCAAATTACACGGAACTCCTGAGACTGAGAAAAATCATCAGCTCAGTCTGATATTTTTGGAGACTAGAGCATGGACTGGCTTTAGTGAGATCACTGCACAAGCCTACACTAAGGTCCTTGCCACGGTGGGAGATTTCTTGTTGTCTGTGCCTTGAAGTTCTTTATAAATTACCCTCTGACTATATTTTTTGTGCATCATACATAGCAGGTAGCCACCAGACAAACTTAGGAGAAACAGTGTTTTCCAGTATGACTCCTGAAAAAAAAAAAACAATGTTAGCCTTAGACCAAATCTCTGTGAAATGGTTGAAACAAGGCCTTGAATATTGTGAAGGCCAAACTCTGCCACTGACTGACTGTATGATCCCAAGAAAGTTGCTAATTTGCTCTATCGCTTTAATTTCTCCATCTGGGAAAGCTGATACTTTATTCTAGGTACATACATGGAGCTCAGTTACTTGCTGATTCTTCACATGTGCATACAAAAAGTATTTTGAAACAGAAATTTTCGGTGCTGACTGTAACATTTTCAATGTTTTCAATTTCAGGTGAGTTTCCTTTCAAGACTAAAATAAACCAAGACTTTTTAAGGATGTTTTTCTTGCCTAACTAGAAATATATGTAAAGTAATAAAAATATTACAGAAATGTTTTAGGTTTATTTTTCTACAGAACAAAATAATTGCATTTTTCAACTATCCTACAATTTATTACTGTTATCAGAGCTGGGGAAAAGTTTTGCTCTGCACTCTGTTCCTGAGAACACATTGAGCCTTTGCTAATCAAGAAAACCTACCTTTTCTTGAGCACAAATTTATTCTTCTTGCCAAAACAACTTGTGTTTTATGACACACAGCAGTAAAATTACATTCTAGACACAGACATGAATCCATCCATGAGGTGAAGCGTAGCACTTATATAACAAAACCAAATTAACCTCTTGTGTGCATTTGCTCAACACAGCTCTGAATCACTTTACCTTCTGGAAATCACTTCCTTAGGAAGGGGGAAAAAAAAAAAAAGGTTATGCTACCAAAATCTACATTAATTCACTATCTTATATGCAGAATTTCTCAGACAGATCTTTTATCAAAACAACCCTAACTGACTTTAATGACTTACTTATGCTGCATCAAAATTCATATGGTATTTGATATAATTTACTTACTGCTTTCAGTGTAAGAGCTTTCCAATTTGTTTCTTTTAAATGAGCGGTTGCTTTAATGCTGTAAATATTCAGCAAACATCAATATTATGGCCAGCACAATGTGGTTCAGTGTAGCAGTGCCAAGTTTTCATTGATTGCTGCTTGTATGCGCCAGTTTTAAGACAGGCTTTTAATAAGCTCAAAATATGTTCATGGGATTGGTCTCAAAATGTCTCTGGTGGAATAATCAAGCTTCTAAGTGGCTGCAGAGAAAAACAAAAATTTTATTCAAAGAATTCCAGCTCAGATACTCAGTCAAAACAATTCCTGGCTTAGCTTCATTAAGTAGGTCTCAAGATGAAAATCCAGATCACAAAGCCAGCTCTGAAGAACTGCTTAGGGTTTCCCCCAGCCCTGGCAGTAGGGTCTTTGCAGATATTGCATTGGCTGCTCCCAAGTCGCTGTCCTGAAGGCCATCAGAGTCTTTGTTGCTCCCCCAGACTCCACTGCAATCAGAGATCCCAGCCTATGTCCATGACTCTCATCAGCCATGTTTCACACAGGCTGAATGTGTCCAGCTTGCTCACCAGCTCTGGTTACTACCCAACATTCTAACTATAGATGGCATCTTCATCATTGGCTTTGGGTCTCCAAAAACCTGAGTTTCTGCCAAAACCCTGGGCCACTACGACCCACTGATGTGGAGTGAAGAGTTCTGGGGCAGGGGAAGGTCCCCAGATACTGGGTCTGAGGGACACCAACCTTCAGCCTGAAGGACACAGGCAGCAGCAGCAGGCCCCTGCCCAAAAGAAATGTGAGGAAGGGGAGAGGGGGACACAGAATGAGCAACATCAGAATGAGATACCCAGTTTTGGTGGAAAGCACTAGAGCAGAATAATGTGGCCCCTCTTCTCCAAAGTAGAATGGTTTTGGGAGGTGGAATGCAGAACTGAACATGGGTGAGGACTTTCCACTGTCACTTGATATCAAACATAAGGAGCTTCTCTGCATTGGCAATCTACTATTTTTATTATCATATTTCATCAATTCTAGCAGTTCTGAAAATGGTAATTGAATCAAGCCTGGAGCTTTCTGGGGAGAAAACAGAGGACAGAAATAGGACAAAGAAAGACACAAAACAAATGGAGGATACTCTTTTCAGCTGGGACCTGGGATGCTTAAAGTTTAGTAAAGACAGTGAGGGAGTCTTTAAAGCCAGTGAGATGATTTGACTACATTAATGGTGTATATACTAAAGAGAAGAATGTAAGAAAAAACGTGCTTTTACAAAGTGGAAAGAAAATTAAAAAAAAAACAGTGGTTGTTATTTCACAGACTTACAAGTTGATTTGAAAGACTTTAGACAAAAATTAAACCCTTAAAGTTAATCCTTCCAGACTTTAAGAAAAATAAAGAAAAAAGATCAGAATTAAGACCTGAAATCACCTAGGGAGATAAGTTACATTTTTTCCTTACAGTATTTTCCACAGAGAATAGAATAAATACAAAACATGTTCTAAAAACTTCCCTTGCAAAATGTGAGCTGTTGTCTGAAGTTCAAATGCAAGTGTATTTCCCTGCCTCGTCTTCACCATCCACGACATTTCAGGAGCAATAACTCTCACTGTAGAATCAGCACAGTGCCTTCTGTTTGGGACTCAGCCATGTTCCCAGGAGAACATTAACTTGACCTGTAGCAAAGACATTTTTCAGTGCAGTTCACACTGGGATAACTCAGATGTAAATGAATTGAAAAAAAAAGTTTTTATTTAATAGAAAACATGCAAACCTAGGAAAAAAACCCTGCTATTTATGCAGCCTTTCTATGACATAGATTAATTTTAGATTCTGGAGGTGGTGCTGTTTTGCTGTTCTGTATTTTTAAAGACCTGTCACCATAAAAACATTGACTCTATCACATATCATCCACTTGTGATAGCAAAGTTAAGAATGTGAATTTGGAAGGAATGTGTACAGATGAAAGCCCTGGAAATTAATCCAGATCTCTTGAGTCTCAATCAAATATTTTGTCAGAAGGTTACCTTCATCTAGGTGAGATTTCTTGCTTTACTTTTGCAGAGACACCAGCACCAGGCCTGCACAGAAAGAACACTGAATTACGGGTATTGAAGCAAATGTCAGACCATTTTCCACGGTAGCTGTCACCCTTTTTATCACAGGGCAATTAAGCTCAAAGTCCTGGAATATGATCTAATATGTTCCAGTTTCTTCCTCTCCCACCCTTTAAAAAACAAACAGTGTCCTTCAGCCTTGACTACTCCAGGCTAAACTCCCACTCGAAGCACATACACAAGAGCAAGATTTTGCTTCTGCTCACATCAAAATCCTGAAACTCCTGCTAAAAAATACATAACCATTTCTAAAAATGAATCAATCAATTGAATTATCTTTTTTCGAGCTCAAAATACATATAAACTAGTTAAAAATTTTTTGTTCAAGTGTTTATTTTTCTCACATATTTCTGGGTTTGCCTGAGACTGAAACTCACAATATCTAATATAATTCTGAGACTTTTTCTGTCTAAAGAGAACTTGAACATTTGAATGATTGACAGACTTTACAAAACTGATCATTATTTCTTCACAACATTGACTGCTCAGTGAGCTGTCAGATATTGTGCAGCTGGAGAACAAAAAAAGCAAGTGTGTTATTTGCTGGAATTGAAATATCAATTAGATCCTGTGATAAGTTAATTGACATATTTAATGAAGAGTGATATTTTTCTTTGATGTACTGGAAAAATGGTGCCATGAGTATCAAAAACATTTGCTAAGTTTCCTGCAGCAGGTAATTGCTCACTCTCCTCTTTTTGAAATATTTTGCTTAAAGGAGGGGTGAAGTTTTGAACTGAAAAATATTCACTGAGCTTAATGCCTCACATCAGACTACATGCATCTGCCTCCCTGAATAACCTAAAATAGAAGTTAAACTGGAAAATACAATAGATCTTGCTCAACCTTTGTTTTATTTATTCATCTCAGAGGAAAAGAATTGGCCAAGAAAAAAGATATGAGGTCATTTGTCACTCTTTAATGGATTTAAATTTAAAAATAAGTCTGTGTTGAGGCTCAGTTCCTTCTCTCACTTTCCCTGGCAACTTCCAGTGCATCTGTAGTCATTGCAACTGCTTGGATCTCAGAGCCCAGTGGTGGTAAGCAGTGGTTGAAACAGAGATGGTGAATAAGCTGAAATATTTCATGATTATAAAGGACCTTGTTTGGCTTCAATGCTGGCCATGACTAACAAATAATTATGAACAAACAGTTATAACAAATAATTATGAAAAACTTACAGTCAAAGTGCAACATTGGAAAGTGCTCTGGTCTTCTGCTGAGAGGTATCAAAGGAACTTGATCTAACTTCAGGTATATTAAATTAAGTAGGATTTTGATTGTTGTATTTTCCTCATAATCAACTCAGGATTCTTAGCTGTGGATAATAACCATAGCCTAGAGTTAGTTTAAAAGGACTGATGAAGCGAATTCCCAACTCTCTGTTCTGGAGACCCTCAGGTTCTGATTTAAGTTCACATATCTTGATTTAGATGCATCTCAAGAATAGACCAGGCTCAGTTCACAAGGACTTTCACTAATCAGTGCCCATCCCAGGAGACAGCTTAACAAAGGACAGCTCCCACGGCAAGAGGCCATTAGCAGTTCTTTCCAGCTGGCATTCCACCTTTTCTCTATTGTCTGCTTCTCCAAGTCTAATTAGATGAGAAAGAAAGGATGGAGTAGAAGTCAGGAGAATAACCTAGAACTCTTCAGACCTGTGCTCAATTTGTTATTTTACTGATACATAAATTTGTGTTAAAAACATGGAATAAATAATTAGTAAACCACTCTTGTACAGAAATAAAAGCATCAAATTATATCAGTTGCTTACCAGTGCTATTGTAGCGCATAAAAAATAATTTTGAAAATACTGAAATGTTGGGGAGGGTAGGTAAATATGATTAAGAACCACAATGGTACAGCCAGGACGAATATAACGCCCCCTACTGGCTGGACAATTACCCTCACCTACAACGGGGTCCAAAAGCCGAATGGATTCTCCCATGTCACCCCCCAGAATGTATGGTTCACCCCACATCTGTAACCCTCCCCTGAACCATCAGGTGCCTGTGACCCCATTGGCCCAGGTCCTGTTCCAGCCCACCCTGGAGCCCCCCTTGATAAGGGGTCTCCAGGGGGCTGGACGCTCTCTTGGATCTTCCTTCCCCTCCTGGAGAGTCCTCCGGGAGTCCCTGCTCTCCTCTCTGTCTCTCCCCTCCCCCATCACCCGAGGCCCAGCCACGTGCTGTGTCTGGCAGCTCGAGGCAGAGCCTCAATGTATCCTGAATAAACCTCTTCCCCCAAGAGCAACCACAGAGATCTCGCCTGAATCTGTCCGTGGAATACAATACACGTCGTTACAGACTGGCGCCCATCGTCGAATACGAACCCACGGTGACCTGCAACTGCACCCGTCTGGATGCTTTCCAGCTTTTCTACCTGTAGGACACCTTTCCATGGACACTAACTATATAACCAGGTATTTCCTCGCCATCGTGGTCGCGAGCACGGCATTCTGCTGCTAGGCAGTAACGAACCGGAGCTCTTTAAAAAGTCCCGAAGCCGTCGTACAGCTCAGCGACTCGTTACATAGTAGCGAGCTATTAGAGCCCTTATACGACTTCTGGCCATTATTCTCCGAGCACAAGAGATCGCCGCGATTCCGCGGCGACCCAAGGCTTTGTGACGACACTTGCCGCGCCACGTGGCCACGTACACAAAGCACAGGCGAGCACTGCTTAGCACTGCCCGCGCTGAAGCTCTGGAAAAACCCCGCGGTGACCTCAGCACCGACTGCAGTAAACGTCGGAACCTGACAGAGGATCCCGCTCCTGCGACACCGAGGTGAGCCACACTGGTTTAAAAATGGGACAGTCCCACTCTGCAGCTGATAGAGATCTCTATAAGCAACTTAACCACTTATTACGTAGCCATAATAGTAATTTGCCTAAAAAAGAGCTACGAAAACTCCTAGAATGGATCTTACTTAAGTTCCCATATGCCGAGCGCTCTGCTGTGTTTTGTGGAGACTTTTGGGAGTCCGTGGGACATACACTATTTAACGACATTTCACTGCGGGACCCCTATGCTTGCGACTTATTTCCTGCTTATAAAGTGTTAGCAGAACTCTGCACTTCTCAAAAGCCGCAGATAGCAGCCAAATCGCTCCCTGCCGTGGCTCAACTATCTTCGCCGGACTGCCCCCCCACCCCGCGCTGCGGCGAGAATGCCGGCGAAGCTGCTGGCGACTCGCCGGTTTCTGAGCGACCGGCGCTCCCTGCCGCAGCCGCCCCCCCCCTCACCCGCAACCCAGAACCCGCCCTTGCGGCCACCTCCTCCCCCCCAAACCACTCCGCGGGCCCCGCCTCCCCCCCGCCCGGCCCCCCAGCATTGCCTGTCCCGGCTATGATGGCTACTATAGCCGAACTTTTACAAAATCAAACAACAGCTATTTTACAAGCACAAACCCAGTCAATGGCTATTTTACAAGCACAATTTCAAGCGTCAGCTGCGATTTTGCAAAAGCTGCAGACGCTGGCCTCCGCGGCCGCCCCCCCAACCCACCCGGAAGTCCCCTGGTCCGGCGAACACGCCGGCCACGCGCCGGCCCTGGGCTGGGCGGCTCCCACTCCCGGGGCCGCCGCCTCCCTCCCGCGCAGCCCTGACCCCGCCCCCACTCCCGGGGCCGCCGCCCCCCTCCCCCTCGGTCCAGACCCCGCCCCCGGGGCCGCCGCCCCCCTCCCCCTCGGCCCAGACCCCGCCCCTGCAGCCGCGGCACCGCCCGTCCTTCCCAGGGACGCCCCGGCTCCCGGCGCAGCACCCCCGCTGCCCGCCCGCCTCCTGCACTCGCGGCCGGACCCCCCGGCAGACGCAAACCCGGCGCCCCCACCCCCCCATCCCCCCGCGGCGCCGCAGCCCCTGCCTCTGGCTACAGAACCCCGGAACCCCCCAACGCCGGCACCACTTCCTGGTTTGCCGAAACCATCATCATATCCCTCCACATCTCTCCCTCCGCCGGATCTTCAGACTGCCACAGCACCCAAAGCCACAGATACAAAAAATCCTTCCGAAAATGCCAGCCCCCCACAAGTGCTGCTGCCCACGACCTCCACCCCCCCTGCTCCTCTGCCTCAGCTGGCAGCAGCCCCTGCCTCCCTCAGTAGCAGCTTTTCACCACACCCTAACGAAGACACTATGCCTCAGCAACGTGAACGCAACAATGTAACTGCAGCTTCTACAAACAAAGGACAAACAGAGAACTATGTTACCCCTGCAAACTCTAACCTTTCTATCCCAGTCTCACCAAATTCTCAACAAAGTGCCAGCAATCTTCAACTGAAAAACTGCCCTGAAATCAAATATAATAGCTGCAAAGACAACAGTCTGCACCCCCAAGCCTTGCAAGTGCTACACAGCCAGCGAACAGCTGTCCCCTCTCAGGAGGTGAAAGAAGTCCTACCAGTACTCAATGACAGTGCTATCTCCTTTTCCTATATTACACCACAGTTAAAAACTACCATAGAAAATACACGCCAAACCCTAAAACGAATCTTACTTCTAAAGGAAGGGCGAGTAGATCAGGCTACACCTCAAAAGAGGTTGAATAAGGCTCTATATGCTCACAATTTTCTAAGTAGCTCTGCAGGAGAGCCTCGTCTCCAAATTTATAGACATTTCCTGAACACAAAAAAAGTAAAAATAAAAGGGTACCCCCCAGCTTTACCCAAAATCTTAAATTCAGGACATATACAAAGTCCACACAGTCTTCTAACGTGGGGGAAAGGTTTTTCTTGTGTTTCCACAGGTGGACAACTCAAGTTGGTCCCAGGAAAGAATGTAAAGCCTTACCACGCATCGAAATCTGCTGACACCCCCACACCAGACAGTTCCTCTACAAGCACAAGCCAAGAAGCCAGCACCCAGACCTGAACCACGCTGCGTCATCGAGAGAAAAATGGACTTTCTATCGTTTAATGCGTGCATATTGTTTTTGTTCTTCTGTTTCAGTTTTTATATTGAAGTTTTACTTATAATTCAACCAAAGACAAATGCCGAGTAGCTTTAGCCAAGCCTGCAAGCTCTAAGACCACCTATATATCTAACACAAACCCTAACAAACCTTTTTCAACCCGTTTAATTATAAGACCTTTTCCAAAAAATTCTGACAATGCCTCCCCTACTATAATCAGTGATTTAATAACAATAAAGCCATCTCAGCTACACAGTTGACTTAATGGTTCGAGACTTGCACCTTGGCTAAAGGAACTCTGTAAAATAAGCTTAACTGTTTCAGTAGCAATAAGTATAGTTCTAGTAACAATACCCTGTACACCTCCAAGTGTGCAGAAAATAGTTGTTAAATCAATATCTAATATTTCAAATGGTTCAGTGAAAAAGGGGGAGATGTTGGGGAGGGTAGGTAAATATGATTAAGAACCACAATGGTACAGCCAGGACGAATATAACGCCCCCTACTGGCTGGACAATTACCCTCACCTACAACGGGGTCCAAAAGCCGAATGGATTCTCCCATGTCACCCCCCAGAATGTATGGTTCACCCCACATCTGTAACCCTCCCCTGAACCATCAGGTGCCTGTGACCCCATTGGCCCAGGTCCTGTTCCAGCCCACCCTGGAGCCCCCCTTGATAAGGGGTCTCCAGGGGGCTGGACGCTCTCTTGGATCTTCCTTCCCCTCCTGGAGAGTCCTCCGGGAGTCCCTGCTCTCCTCTCTGTCTCTCCCCTCCCCCATCACCCGAGGCCCAGCCACGTGCTGTGTCTGGCAGCTCGAGGCAGAGCCTCAATGTATCCTGAATAAACCTCTTCCCCCAAGAGCAACCACAGAGATCTCGCCTGAATCTGTCCGTGGAATACAATACACGTCGTTACACTGAAAAATACAGCCCATGCCTAGAGCTGTTTAAATGGTTCAAAACAAATGTGTCATAGTCTTCCATAATCTTTTCTTTGCCCTCTTTCTCACACACAAAAGGCTAAAGCCATTTTCTTCTGTTTGAAGAATTTTGTCCTCTGAATTGCAGTTCCCTGCAATGCAACAGGCCTTTAATGAAGCAAATAGGATTAGGCCACTAGAAGAATAGTTTATCCTGATTTTTGAAAATCTAAATCCAATATTGTTTGAATGATGCTGGCCCTTCCTTCATCAATCCTAGTCCAAAAGATGTTTTGAACTTTCTGTCAAATTACATTGTATAAGAACAAGTCAGTGATATGGGTTACTGGAATAGCTCTGCTCCTTATAACAGAAAATTTTATCCATATAACACTCTGTAGCATTTTCCACTGCCACCATATAAATACATGCAGTAGAGAAACAATGTTTTGTGCTGTCCCTCTCCAGGAGACTCCAGTCAGGTTAAAATGGCCACTAAATCCAGACTTGAGAGCCACAGGCAGGTCTGTGCAGGCAGCCACAGTAAAGCCACAGTGCAAAATAGAGATATTAGAAGCCTCACAAAACAAACCAGGTCATCCAGGTAACTGCATGGTTCTGCCAAGAAAATTGCTTTGGAACTGGAGACTGCTCCCAACTCGGTTATGCCAGTCAAGGTCGCATCTCATCCCTTCCCTACTTATGTAAGCGGATAAACCCTGCCAGAATAGCTCTGCTGGCCTGAGCTGGAGTGATTTGATGTGGGAGCCTGTCAGAGCTGCTACTGAAAGGATGAACAAAGACGTAATCTCTGGCAGTCAGCACTGAAATCTGCCTTTGCTATGGCCAAATTGAGTGCTGCCAATTCTTCTTCGCAACTATGCTGGCTCTGCCTTTTGAACTACCCAAATATGAAGCCAAAAATTTCCCTGTGTATCCTGTAAACAATACAGTGAAGAAACATTCACGTAA